TATATTACATTTTTCATAGGGTGCAAAGTAACAACAAATATCCAAAAGACATTTGATTGCACATTATAACACACTTTCTAGTAACTTCTTCCTGCCAACGAGCCTTAGACAAAATAAGTGCAATAAAATTATTGAATCAAACTGAATAATTAAAAAAAATTAAAGAAAATATTTTGTTTGTTTGAATCTAATTTTTGCTTTAGTCTTAGATTTTTGTTTAAATTTATTTTTCACTTTCCACTTCAAGACGAGGACTTTCTTTTTCATTCTCCAGTGACTTAGAAGGTCAAGAATGTTATTCTTTTCTCTAATAAATTACAGCTTTTGTAAATTCTCACACACCTTTTTACATTGAGGCCCTGGGGTCCTGTGACCACTCTGGCTTGCCACAGGGTCAGGTCCTCCAAGAGCTGGATAGCTGTAGAAATAAGAGACTTCCACCAAGGCGGGTGACTATCAAGAGGCTTTATTCCTGAGGGCTCGAATAAGGGAAGATGACGTGGGTAGCGAAGGGAACCAGCCGCCCAGAAGGACAGCCAGCTCTGAGTGCCCCAAACCGGGAGCGGGGTAGGGATTATAACTGTAACTGGGAAGGAGGGTCAGGGTATGAAACAACTAATGGGAGAAGGGCTCGGGGGCGGAGTAGGGGGCGAGTGTCAGGGTAACAATGAACGGGGATAGGAGGAAGGAGTGGTTTCGGGGAAGGAACCAATGGGGATACAAAGAACACAGAACTTTCTAGAACTGGGGGAAAGGAGTACATAATGATGGACAGGTATGGGGGGAAGGGATAACAAAAGATTGACAGCAGGGGAGGCGGGAAATTACACATCTGTTGCCTCCCAGGGCAAAGCAGGGGGGCCATCTTCCACACCCCCTCCCGCAATACATGCAACAGTTTTATGTGTTTTCCTTTTGGTAAAAGGCTGAAAGCAGAGAGGAATTATGCCTGATTGGTCTGTCTTGGCTGCCACACATGGCTCCCACAAAACCTTAATGGAAGGGTTGCTATCCTTCTAGCAACTGAGGAAAACACTGGGGAAGGGCTTTACTGAAGTTGAGTGGAGAAAGAAAAGAAAAAAGTAAGCAGTGAAAATGAAAAAGGAAGTTACAAAGCTAGAAAAGAGTAAGAGACTGGAAAGAAAGAAGAATTAGGAGGGAGGAGGATTTAAAAACCCCAGCAGAGTAAGAGAAAAATTCTTTTGGAAGGTACACAAAGGAGACTGAATAGAGTTTGTTGCCAGTTGGAATCTGTGGATTGGCAGCAAGACTAGGGAAGTGGAAAAATTGGACAGGACAGAATTTCTTTACAGGCCCTTGTTTGGTATTCTGCCTCACCCAAAAGAGCTTATGTCTTTCTATTTATAAATATTTATTCTTTTAATGTCTGTTTCCAATATCTAACTTCAGAGATTAAAACCTTTCTCTAGTATACTTGAGATGTTTTCTTCACAGAAGTGGGGTAGACTACTTCACCTCAGAGATGCAGCAGACATTTGTTTCCATGCATTATGAATATAATTACAATTCAAGTACTGGAGTTCTGGTAATCATGGAAGGGTTTTTTTTCACCACAGTATGAAATGAAAAAATAGGCAATATCTCTCTTTCTTCATTTGCTTACTTTAAAAAAATATATATAGTTTTATTTTGAGCTGAATAATTCTTTTGGAACATGTTAACTAGTTTATTTGAATAAAGATACAATCTATGAAGTGAAATAGCACCCAAAGATACTTCTTTTGCTGTTTGGTTTCTTTCACAAGGTGGTACTTGATCTAAAAATTGGAATTTGTTGTTAATCAGGCTGGTCCACAGTTTTAATGAATACCAGCTCATAAGACATTTGCATGATTATTTATCCCTTTAAATAAAAATTGATTAAAAGCTCAAAGGAGTTGAACATTGCTTCTTTGGAGTCACTAGAGAGCCTTAAATTAATTTTTCACTCATCAACAAAAATAATAAAGTTGAGTTATAGAAATTTGTTATGCTGTTTACTTATAAACATTTTAAATATCTAGAAAACAGCCTTTCTCTGAAACTGTTTCTTGCTTTACTGTTCTCTCATTTAGAAACTCAGTCAAATGTGAGAACATAGCTCAAGATGGCTCATTTGTATCACTCACAACCAGGAAACAAATTATTGATTTCTTTTGGGTTTGTTGGACCATTTCTATGTAATATAACTATTTTGTTAACAAATTGAGTTCATTCAATATACTTGGGGGAAAAAAAAATCCACACCCCCCTCCCACTCCACCTCAAAAAAATACAACCAAACGAAAAAATGACCTCAAGCAAACAACAGGTTGATGTATCTGGGAGAAAAACACAAAAGCAAAACAGGCATGCTTTAGAGTATGCATTCTGGTAAATCAGATGTTTGATTGATCAAACAGTCTGAGAAACAAAAGAAAAATAAGCAGTGAAATTATATCTAGTGAGCTTCTCACAATGTCATTGAAAAGGAAAAAACCCAACAACACAACCTCTCACACCACTCATTCAGTCTACTATATACCTGGCATCATAACTTGTGATATGCTAAGAAGGTAAAGCACATATAATTAATCTATAATGATTATTAATTGTTACTTTGCACTGTAAAAGATGGGTCTTGTCAGCCATAAGGGATAAAGTTTGTTTCTTGGACAGTTTTGACATAGCTAGAACTGAAACATATTTTTTTTTTTCTTGCATATTTTGTTACAGTCTCCTCACAGCTGTAAAAAATAGAACAGGCAACAGACTGTGGTTCTCCTAACATCTGCTATTTTCTGTGACTAGATAATGCCATATGAAGAAAAACATGGCTTGAAATACATTCTGCTAAAGTGAGGATTACCATGGTTTGCTTCATTGAAATCATCTTGCTCTGCAGGAAGTAAAGCCTTCTGACAGCTGTCTATTTCTCGGGAGCTAATGGCCAAAGCTACTTTCTTGTTTCCAGTTTTTTGCTGAAAGTCATGCAGTTTAGCAGAATAATAAGGCACAGAAGCATATGTCCCTTGACAACTCAGTGTTGATAACAAACCAAACTGTAAACTATGATTCCCTTGGGAAATCTCAAACACCTGCAACTGCAAATATCTCCTCAGAAAAATGTGCATTATGACAAAATCATTGTTACAGGACAGTCTGTCAAAGACATACTGAAGATTTTTTTTGTCTTAATATTTTATAACTTTTTGACTGTCATTTTAGCCTTTAGACTTATCATGAAATTTCTGTATGTGAGATTTCTTAATTTTTGTGATTTGGTTTATAGACCTATTCATTCATTAAAGCCACTAACGGAAGAGTACAGATACCACTCTCTTAGGCAGAGTGTTTCCTTACATTGTACAGACATACATTTTGCACTGAAAAAAATTGTTCTTTCTATTTTTTTTCTTCTTAGCAAGAAATAAAAGTCTGCAAAGAAGATGGAATTAAAATGCATAATAAAACAAACAAAACAAAATAAAACCAGACTAATCCTGTTGCTGTTTTAAAGCCAGTTAATAAAAAAAAATTGGTATTGGTACAAAATGGAAGGCTAGCAAAAATGCTTAAATACATTAGTCAAATGGCTTGCTTTGAAGAAATAGAGAATCAGATTTAAAATCTTTACTGAAGGTTTCAAAGTAAGCCATACTCCATTCATTTCTGATCAAGAAAAAACCTGATTTTCATTGCTGATTAAAGAATTTTGTGCAACGTTTTAAAAAGTCTTTTCATTTTATTAATTCAATTTCTTGGAAGAAACTTGCCCAACTAATTTGACAAGGCATTTTAACTTGTTGTGAGAGGCTTGTCTATATTTCCCTTTCCGACTATATAACCATTACTAGATTTCATCTCCTAGAGAATACAGTGGTAACATATTTTTTTTCTCTATGTACCACACACACACACACACACACACACACACACACACACACACACAAGAGAACTTTCTCCCCCTGCACTTAAATGAGTCTTCCAGAACTTAACAGCTAAATATATCTCTATAGCTGTAAATTGCCACATACATTGTAAAGTTAGAAACCCCACTGACATTGAATTGCAGTGCATTTGATTAATATTGTTTGAAAATAAGTGCTCTAGCAAGCCATTACTTTGGTTTTTGGGTTTGTTGTGTTTTTTGTTCTTTTTTTTTTTTCCTGGAATATAAGTAAAGCTGGATTTGTTGTTTTCTATCATAAAAACTAAAAATCAGTTTTAGACTATGAATATTTTCACATTTCTTATCTGTTGTTTTGTCTAAATAACTGTGCTGACCTCCCTCATTAATACATTATAATTAAGTTCTGCAACAGTTGTGTTATAGTGGAAGTTCTCCAAACAATCCTCTGGTACAACTCAAGTGATTTTCAAGGAAAAGAAAATCCTCTGAAGTATGTCACTCCTTTAAAGCTTGAACTGATACTGGGAAATATACACTGCCTACTAACCAACAATTAGTTTTGTTTGTTTCCCAGGCTTCTCTTGCTGCTGAAGATCGTTTTAGAAGATCTAAGTAGTGTTAAGGCATGATTGCAAGAAATACACTTATATAAGGAGTTTGAGCAGTAAAATAATGCAAAAAGGATCAAAGCAAACATTATACATAAAAATGCATACTTATATACATATTAATGTATACTTTCAATAGCCTGATATTTTCAGTGAGTATGGATACTGTGCAGGAAAAACAGGATTTATGTGAAAGGTAGCACAAGCAAGGAGTTAATTCGAACACACTGGAGCTGATGATCACTCTCTCACCTGAAGAAAAGACTCAGTTGCCTAGTGTATAAATATAATCCATCCACTGGCAAAGAAGAGTGGGATGAAAACCAATGCTGCCAAGGAAGTGACAAGTGGCAAGAAGAAGATGAAGTGGAGGGTATATTCTACATGGAGGGGAAATTATTCTTCTGGTACATCAAACTTTTATATCAGTTTGATGAAAGTGCAGAGTAATTGATTTTAATGATACTGAGTAATTTAAAATGAGGTTACATGCTTTGACTTAAAAGCTGTACACTTTTTAATTTGTCCAACACCAGTTTATAGCCATTTATATTCCAATGAATTTTTACACAACTTTGCATACAACAGTATCATGATTCTTACTAAGGAACGTAGGGAAAATTGTCAAGTGGACTTTACAAAATAAACCCTGTGACATTAATTAGGCAGAATCAATTTTAAGAAACAGAACTTTTTTTACGCCAATCATTGAGGGCATTATTATGAATATTATAAAGATATATAGAGATTGTAGCTTCTGATTTTTAATTTGACAGATTTTCTTTTGTTTATACACTTTCAGAAAGGAATTAATTTTAAGAGAGTGAAACGTGAATTGGGCATGCAGGGACAGCATTATCTCTGTGATAGGATTTCACAGGAAATAGATATTTCTCAGAATTATCAGAATATTAAAAAATTACAAAAGGATTGTAAAACTCCTGTGCTGTTAAGAAATCTCTTTCATCAAAAAAATACTAAATAGAAGTCTGACTTCTCTTACACAGTGCTGCCTTTTGTGCGAAAATCGTAAAATACTTTTCATTTGTATGATCTGATTACATTTGGAGTTAGGTTTATCTTTAAATAAATGTTCAAAGAAGCAGAAAGTTAAAGTTTATCTTTATAAAGTAAATCCAGAAGACAGTTCTGTTTTACACAACTTATTATGATAGATTCCTTCGAGTTTTAAAGATTACATAACCACTTGATGTGCCAATATCCTTGAAACCTTAGGAACAGGCACTGCTATTGATGTTGATATTGTTATACTACAAAATCATAGATCATTCAGCATGTAAAAATGGAGATGGATCACTAAATTTAAACTAGGACAGATAAGGAGGGAAATATTTAAACTTTCTTCATTTTAAAAGGCTCAACAAGACTGGATGCACCTATTGTAGAATTTTTTTTTTTTTTAACAGGTTCTTTGAAATGTAGAAGTATGTAAAATTGTACAATTTGCCTTTTCATTTTAGTAGAAAAACAGACAGATAAACAAAACCGAACAAGTAGACAAATGCATGTTTTTTTTAACACATTGTTAAATGCAGTTACTTTTATTTTATCAAGATTGTAGGCTGAGTATGGAAATGTGGTTATTGATTTTCATATGTGATGAATTCTACACATGGCATTTGCATCCTTCACAAAATAAAATATATTATTCTTATTCCTCTTATTTTACTACTAAATTATTAGGTTGTTTCCTAATGCTGCAGCAAATAAAAGGATGGGACCTGGAATAGAATTACTCCTGAATCTTTTTAATGGATATTTATAATATGTAGAAATAGAGATAAGTATTTTTTATGTCTTAGACTTTAGATTTAGACACGATACACCCAAAGGTAATTACTATAATGCATTTCCTTATATTTTTATTTCACCATCAAAATAATCTAAATTGAGCAGAGTAATTCTGGTTTCAAAGCACATCTAAAATATCTGATAAAAGACTATTGCTTGAAAAGTAGAAATCTTAAACAGACCTCTGAGAGAGTCTGTGAACATGGAGCACTTGGGTATGTATTTCCATCTGATCATATGACTATTCTCTGGTGGAAGATAGTAGAAATTGACTACACAGGATCTCTTTACAGGCTTAACATCCAATTGAAAGAGATGTCTCCTCACTCCACAAGATTTTGAAGGCCACACAAATACATGAAATTTGAAAATAACAGCTATTACTATTACACTGTCTCAAGAAATGTATTGTGGGTTTAATGGAATGCGTTCAATCAACAGTTATGGACCAGAAAGTGTTTAAGGAATCATGAAATTAAGAGATGGATAAAAAGGTAAGGAAAAATTACCCTATTACCAATTTGAACACTATGGGAAATCATGTAGCAGTGTTCTGTCTAGCACTGATAAAACTATACTGAGAAGCAATTTATAAGTAACAATCATGGACCATAGAGATTTTAGTAATGCGAGGCAGAACAATATAGCTGATGGCATATCTTCCCTTCTGCAAGCAAATTAGGCCTCTTTGTAGCAGGAATCACTTCCTTGTTACTGCACCAGTTCTAAACACAGCAGGGTGTCTTAGAGGTCTAAAATTCTGTGAAAAAAAGAAAGGTGAAAAAAAAATGAATTAAGTAAGTGGAAAACAATCTAAGAATGCTTTCCTTTCAGATACAGAAGGAATTATTTGAAATATTGGAATGAAACTGATGCCCAAACCATTCAATACACAGTTGGGTCAGGATAAGGAATAAAACAACTGTTAGAAAATGGGCGCATACTGAATCAGATCTGGGCTCAGATCAGATACCAATGAAGATTGGGATCAATCAACTGCCTGTGTTGCAATTAACCATAGTTATGTACTCTTAGTGTGCCAAACTCCTGTGAGAATTACAGCAGTATTCATTGAACCTCTATGAATATGAAATACAAATTATTCTGAGAAAAGAATCATGCAAGGCATCCTATTTTTAGATTTAAACTGGACGTGGGGGATTGGAATTATATGACATTTCATATAGAGTAAGAATAACATAGTGAGTGAGTGAAAGATACACTTTACCTTGTATTACTTAGTTTTTTGATTTATTATCTTATTTAGATTGCTGTAGAGGGAAGGCTAAAAATCTAAGAGTATTTTAGAAAACAGGAAAATAGCAACTTTTTTCCCCTTGGCTAAACAACAGATTCAATAGGAGAACCACAGAAATTTGTCTGATATACAGTTTTAATAAAATAATTTTTGATAGCTCCAGATCAAATGTATTTTGAGACTGTTCTCTGTGACCAAATTATCAGTCCTGGAAGAGTTATGAAAGATTGGTCAAGATAGGTCAAATATGACTACAGTTAAATTTGTCTTTGAAATAAAAATTTTTGCCTTTTCAAAAGTTCAGATGTGCAAGTGAGTCACTGAAAAGATTAATAGTTAGCATTGGTACGTGCACTAGATTTTACTGGGTCTGAAACTGATAAAAAATGGTCAGAATTAGTGTATTTTTCTGTATATATGAACTTATTGTAATTTTTTAAATCTTCTATTTTATGACATTTTACAAAGCAATCATTTATTTTTAGGTGTAATTTCATGAGGAAACTATGTCCATGAAGACCTTTTCACCTTTTTCCTTTTATATGATCTTGCAGGTAAGCATAAAGAAATTTGTACATGCAGATCTCAAACCTGAGTGTGACTTTTATTAACATAAATAGGCATAAAATTCAATATAATAATGTATGCAAGCCTCTTAATATCAGAGACAAAAATCAGGACTAACTACATCAAAAGAAATACAAGACATAACAGAGAAAAATCATGCTAAATAATAGGAGTGACCAAGAATTTATATTTGATCCTTTAATTTGAATGTTACCATTCCAGTAGTTAATGCCTATTCCTACTTGGATAATCACTGGAAACATTTCAATCTTTGCACTGTGATTAGTAGAAGAGGAGCCTGTCTTAGAGATTTTCAGTATTATGACTTTAAAAGTAAGCAATAATCATCAAAATAAAGAATTATATCCTGCCATCTTTACTCCGGCTGACTAATAACTACAGTGAATTCTAATATTTTGAGACATAAGCAAAGAAAATCAGTGATTAGCCATATGTAATTCTTCACTGCCAAATTATCTCAGGATTAATTTCCTATTTTTTAAATATACTTTGCAATGGTTTGTTCCTAAAATCACTATATAAAACAATTTTATTTCTCATTATACAGTGAGAACTTGACACTACAGGGACACTTTAGAAAATGGAGATGAAACATTAGAATTGTAGAGCTAAATCTCATTATGCCATTCTGTGGGTGCTGTCATTCAAGCAATGTTTTCATGCTTCAACACAGGGTGATCTCTTTAGTTACAGGAAATTGAGATCACTTTATTTCTGGATGACAATATCCAAGCAGGGGCACTAATGTACTTATCTTCTCTACTTAAGCCAAATGGTCTTAACTTTTCCAAAAGCTTCCATTTAGAACCACCTTAAAGGATTTACAGAAAAGTCTTAAGAAATATTGTGAACATCACAGAACTATGGAAAAGTTAAAGTGTTTGTTTGGGGGGTTCTGGTGGATTTCTTTGGTGTTTTGTTTGTTTGTTTGGGGCTGGTTTATTTTGTTTGTTTGTTTGTTTGAGGGAGTGGGGGGGGTTGGGTTTTCAGGTGGTTGGTTGATTTTTATTTAAAAACTTGCTTGAGAAATTGCAATGTCAGTTTGCAGTAATTCCTACTCTTAAAATTTATAGATAGATTCACTTTGGTGGTCCTAGGTAGTTAATATACAACTTTGTTAAGTTTCCCAGCAAATATATCCAACATTGGCACTTAATCACAGTATCTCAGAATCAAAGAACAGTCTGGGTTGGAAGGTGACCTCAAGGGTCATCTAGTCCAACCTGTTTATGCTAAAAGCACTAGAAAGGATGGCCCAACAGCCTCTCCAGCTGAATCTGTAAAGTGTCAAATTCTGGGGAACAATCACTTCCTAGGGGAGATTATTCCAATGGTTAATTTATCTTTTGAAGAATTGTCCTCTTGTGTCTAATCAGAATCCACCCAGGACTAATTTTTACCCGTCGTTCCTCATCTTTTCCATGTGACTCCTTGTAAAAAAGGGAGTTTTCTTCCCTTTGCAGCCACCTTTTAAATACTGGAAGATCATTACAAGGTCTTACTTTAACCTTCTTTTATCAGGGTGGAAAAAAACCCCAAGTCCCTCAACCTTTCTTATGCCAGGCTTCTAAGTTCTTAAATGGTCTTTGTGGCTCTTCTCTGATTCTTGCCAGACTCCCTACATCTTTATTTAGTACTGTGGAACCATAGAATCATAAAATGTTTAGGGCAGGAAGGGATCTTAAAAGATAGTTAGTTCTACCTCCCCGTACTATGGGTTGGAACAAGTTCCACTGGACCAGGTTGCATCACCCAACCTGGTATTAAACTATTTCAAGGATGGAGCATCCATTACTTCTCTGGGAAACCTATCCCAGTGCCTCATCATCCTCTCAGTAAAAGATTTCTGCCTAGTATTCGATTTAAACTGACTGTTTTTCAGTTTAAAGCCATCCCTCCCTGGTCCTGTCACTGCACATCCTTATCAAAAGTCCTTTTCAGCTCTCTTGTACCTTTACAGTTTCCATATAATTGTTTCCAGTACTTTACAGTTTACATAAAATCCTTGATAAATTCAGATAAATTGGTTTTGCATCTTAAATGGATTAGATTTCAATGGTGAGGATTGAATTCACACCAAAAAATTAAATGAGAGATCATGTTCTGTTTTCTTCCAGAGTGAGTGTCAATTTGTAAATGAGTACCAATCATAATGCAAAAATTTGTTGGGTTTTTATTACTTCTATTGGCAAATTACCTTAAATTTTCATTCTTTTGAAGATCAGCAATAGAGTTGGGGCATAAAAGATTTTTATGTTGGAAAATTTATTGTGAAATAGGGTATTAAAAATATACTTATATCATTTATATTTTTCTGTTTTTTATTTTTACATAAAATGGTATTAAATTAGGCAACTATTATCTAAAGAAATAAAATTCATACTGTAACATAAAATTTAAAAATATGTATGAACTCAAAATTTTCAAGTACTCATCCTTAAAATTTCTTATTTACTCTGCCATTCCCCACCCCTCATGGTAGAATGGGGAGGAGAACAAGAAAAAGGTAAAATGCATGTGTCGAGATAAGAACAGTTCAGCAATTGACATGAAGTCATCTACTGCTACTACTAGTACCACTACAAATGGCAAATAAATGGAGACAAGCAAACTAGAGACAAATGAAACCCAAGGGAATAAAAAACCAAAACAAAGCAAAACCATGATATACTGTACAGTTACTCACCACCCACTAATGCCAAGCCTATCCCTGACAGTGGTCAGCCTCTTCTGGCCAACTTCACCCATTTATGAACGGAACATGCCCTTCTGTGGTATGGAATATCCCTTTGGCCAGTTTGACTCAGCTGTCCTGTCCTGCCTGGATTCTTCTGCATGTTCTCACTGGCAGAGCATGAGAAACTGAAAAGTCTTTGACTTGGGATAAGCATAGCTTAGCAAAAACTACATCAGTGTATAACCAACACTATTTTCATCCTCAATCCAAAACACAACACTGTTTGTACGAGCTAATAGAAAGAAAATTAACTCTATCCCAAACTTTATCTGTCCAGCCAAAACCAGGACATATGGTTTTTGTGGTCTTAATCTATTAATTTTGAGAAAAAAATCTTTAAAGAAATAATACATATATAAAGAAATAATACATATGCCAATTTAGTTCCCATTATCTCTATTGATTTAGATACAGACTCATTTATAAAGATTATTTGTAATTCACATGTGTAAATAACTTGGAGAGCCAGTCACACCTTGTGTGACAGATAAAATTACTATACTTACTGTCTACATATCTACAGATATGTAGACATATCTGTATTTTTTCCCGCTCTGAAGCTGGTGTAGCTGAAATAGTAAAAAATACAAGAGACTGATAGCTAGGGAAGAAAATAATGGTTTGAATAAGCAAACTCTACAGCTTTAAATTTTTTTTTTCTCTTTTGATCTAGGTAGTCTTCTGTATCTGGCCCTTCTCACAGTTAATGACTGCTTTCAGAGCTAGTTTTCTAGTTCACTCAAACAGAGCTATCTTCCTTAGCTTCCATAATATTATGAAAGAACCAGGATTATCTCTCTTCTCAAAATACTGCTTTTTTCCCTTCTAACAGGATTCACATAATAATTAGTTCTACTAATTCTTCTTGACAGATCTGGGAATCAGTAATTAAAAAAAAAAGAAAGACAAAAAAAAAAAACCAAAACAAGACTACAAAGACAGGTAACACAAACCAAATAAAAACAAATAAACAAACAAACAAAAAAAACCTCAAGCCAAACCAAACAATTTTTGCAGCTTTGCATCTATTTTTCTTTGAAGACATGAAATTATCTGTGTTGACAATTTATCTGTAATATCTCTTTTCCAAAACATATTAATTCAAATTTAAGGTCTATCAGATCTAATATATTTCACATTGAATGACTAAGTCATCATTGATTTATCCTATTCTGGGACAAACAGCTTCATTTGTTCAAAATATTTGATGTCACTTTGTTGCTTCAGTTATGAATGGCACAAAAAGTATATCTGGATTTTTCTTTTTTCTTCAAGTGGTAAATTCAAAGATTGGTTTTTGTGGATGCTTTGGCAGTCTGAAATCATAGTCAAGGTAAGTCTAAATTCTCATGCACATTAAGTCTATATTAATGTAGGGTGTGACACACAGAGCGGGATCTGAGTGGTTTTTTCTCATCCTGCCCATTTTTCTCTGAATTTGCAGGTAACACTGTCATGCAGGAGTCAAGCTCATTCTTTCTCTTTAGCCTTAAGCAAACTCCCAAACCAACCAGCCAACAAACTGATCAACTCCCTATTTATATTCCTTTGTCACAGAAGCATGGGAAAGATTTGGATTTTTATTTTCCTAATATATTATTCATGGTACATTGTAACTTTTTTTTTCTCCTTCAATATCATGATTTATTATATTTTTTTTAAAATACAGTCCTAGAGATTTTTTGTTCCTATTGTTACTTTGGTTTTTCTAAGCTTTAAGCACTGCCATTTAGGTTTAGGTAATTGACAGGCAATTAGCTGCTCCCAGGTCATTCACATTGTTTTTAACTTCTCAGTCTATGAAAGAAAGGAGGAAAGAAGATATTTTCCAGATAATTTGTATCTGAAGATAAGGTCTTCCATAAAAGAGGTCCTTAAAGACAAGGTCATCCATAAAGATGAGGGCAATTTCTTTTCAAAAATGTTATAGGAAGAATATTACAGTCTTTTAATTTCAATGTCAACAGATTGATGAATTGACAAATTATAGCCAGGTAGTAAGATTATTTTAAATTAAATGCAGTTCTGCAAATGTATTGTGCTCGACTTTTTTACACCTGCATTAACTGATTCATTTAGCTTTTACTGTACACTTGAGGAGAGAAGGTTAAACTATAGCAGCAAGAACAGTACAAAGATGTTTACTTCAAATAGCTGCAGATGAACCTTTCTGAACGATTAACTGACCCCATAAAACAAAAGGAAAAATACCAAAATATTGTAAAATTGGGGGGTTTTATTTGTTAAGGCAGTTGGGATAAAATACTAATAAATATATTGCAAAATATATTATTACATAATTCAAATGTATTTTCCATGTGATGCAGGCTTCTCCTATAGCAAAAGTTTTTCATTTTTCAGACTGCAAAAAAGTAATTTCATTTTTTGCAGAAATACTCTTTTACATTGATATATTGTAAATCTGACAGAATATGGTATTTAAATTATAGTCAGTTGGAAATTAGTGTACTCAGATATACTCAGATATAAAATAGTCTTCATTTAAGGAAAAGGTGCATCTCTTAAAATTTAAGAAAGACACTTTATGGCTTTGGATACACATACCTTGTGCTGATGCTTTACAGGGTAATAGTCAATACTTGCTTGTTTTCTATTTCAGAAGGTAAGAGACTGGAAATATATCAAAACTTTTGATTTTCTTCCATAAAGGACCCCTGAAGTCATTCTTTCTTCCTGGGTAATTAAAGAGATAAAGTGAGATAAAAAAATAAAATTATTAAAAGAATAAAAAACAGAAAGTTTTTTTTTTTAAAACAGCATTTTTGATATTTGCTTTTTGACCCATATCTTACCTAGGCAGTGCGTAATTTTAATGTACCTAAATTTATTACAGTGAGGCGTTATGGAGAGATTATGCTTTAGTACTAGAGAAGCAAGAACTTCTAAATTCTGAGAGAAAGCATAAACAATTTAGGACAGAGTTCAGTTTCAGGAGAGTTCTGGAAATACACTTTCAAATAAGTGTATTTAAAATATTCAGGAAGGAAGACTGGACATGTAAGAGCTTTGGAAAAACTACAGCATGAATTTATGTATTCCTATAATCAAAGATAGACTTCAACTCTGTCTTTGACCAGAGTACCAGAGGAAAATCCAACTTCAAGCAGAAGTGAATTATGATCACATTAAGCGAACTTGAGGCCATGTAGAAGAATTTGGATAAACTCTGAGAGCAGAGTTCTGTATAATTGAATTGTTCATGCTTGCTTATAGCTACACCCAAGGATGTCGGTGATCAAATGAAAAAGTAGGAAATAAATAGTTTGCTATTTAAAAATGTTAATATATGTTTATACATGCAAATGCTTAGAACTAGCTTAAGATATATATGTTTTCTCTCTTTCTTCAGCATCTAGTTAAATATTATTATTCTGAAAAGTAACATCCTTAATCTTCACCTTGGCATCAAATAAATACATAGAAGAGTTTTTTCCACTAGCATTTTATTCTTGCTTTTTTTAAACCCCCTGTCTGTAACTTTTAAGTGAGGGTATTCAAAACAATTCAGCAGATTGCTTCATGCTGCATGGCTTTTAACCTGTTTGTTTTAAACATGAATTATCTATAGCTTTTAATATTCCTGGCACATTTCCTTGTCTCTCAGCATGAAGTTCATTATCCTATGCAAGACAAATTAGCATAAAGACAGCCAATTTTAACTGAGCATCAGCCTGTAAAAATGGAGGGACTGAACTATCAGTTTCACACATGGGTCTGTGTCATGGCATGAGTCAGATAAGCTTTAGATGAGGATCAGCAGACCAGCACTGATATTGTTTTTAGCAGCTCAGAAGCCAGGTTCAGTGACTTAAAAGGTTGGGTCCTCACAAACAGCTCTTCAGTGTAGCATCTAGCAAGAAATCTGGCCAGAGCTCCTTGTTTTATTTTGCCCTAGCTTACATCTTGTTTCTCTATCAAATCTAACAGGTATACGATGGGGAAAAAAAATCATTAATGACAATTTTAATAATGAAAGTAAAAAAGTTGGTTTTATTTAATTGACTTTAATTCCTTCTCAGAACCAAATGAATGCATTAGACAAGAAATAACTCTATTTCATTAAAGGCTTGAAGATGACCAAAATATATTTTCTGGGAAAAAAAAACACAACAGATTTCAAGACATCTGAAAGAGTTTGTATATAAAACCATACAAATTGTACGGTTATAATAGTCCTGCAAAAGCATGCATTCTTTGTCTCCATGGAAATACCTCCTATCTCCATATGAGAGGGAAGGAACAGCTGGCAAAATCAAAGCCAGCATTATCCCTTCAAAATCAAGAACAATACACTGTGCACAATCAACTTTCCTGGAAAGAAAAATGCTTGTTTGATCAAAAGCTAATGAAGTGCACATGACTCAAAATAGCAACTGGGAAGTCAGAAAGTGCACTAAGCTCTGCCAGCTCTGCCAGCGTCATAACAGGGCTCTCCCTTGACACAGGAGATGGACTGAACTATTAAAATCTAAAATGATTGATGCTTATTCAGAATCTTCACAAAAAGACTGCCCTTGACACAGAGAGCTTAAGGTATTCAGCTAATAAAGTCACAGTGCCTTAGTTTAGCAAAGTGAGAGCCAGAAGATGCTCCCCAATACCCCTAAAAGTTATAATTGAACTTCGGCAAGACATTAAGTTCAAGTAAATAATCTCCCACTGGTCTACCTACAGTGTTATCTAAAGGTACTTTGTGTATTGACAGCTGTCCAGCAATCTGGAATTACTGAAATTTTGGCAAAAGATGTGTTCAAGCTTCTGTGGTGGATAAGCAAATTAGAGGTACTGAGCCAGAACCTTCTTCACAGCTTGACTCCTGGTGGGTGCTAGCATAATAAAAACATAGACCATTTGGTTTTCACTATATCCTTTGCAAACTGGGATCATGTCTTATGTTTTCCTTTTCTATTTCAAGTACAAACTGCTAGAATGATACACAGGGAAAAAACCTCAAAAGCTATAGAAAGTGACACAGAAGTAGAATTTCCAATAGTCTGTATAAATTATCCTTCTGTGCACAGGCTTCCATAGCTGCAGAACTGCTTACCTGGAAAGACAATGTATCTAGAACTCAGAGGCAGGCTTCAGTTTACCTCTCAAAATGTTAGGTCTGGGCAAATCCCTGATTAAATTCTACATCTTGGCACTATTTTATGAGGGACTGTTCAAGTCCTTCCTTACTGAGAGAATGGTAAGTGAAAGGGCTTGGAGAAAGGGAGGAGAGTTCCAAAACATATACTTCAAATTCTCACCACAGGCACAATGAGACTGAGGGATTAATGGATTGACAGAATTATAGAACTCTGGAGCCACAGAATCAGTCAGGTGGAAAGGGACTTCAGGAAGTCTATACTCCAAGATCTTGCTCAAGCAGGAGCAGCTCTGAGGTCAGAAGCAGTTGCTCAGATTTGCATTGAGCCTGATTTTGAAGACCTCCAAGAACAGTTAGAAAAATCTCTATGGGCAACCTGCTCCAAATCTAGTTTTCATGTAAAAAATGATGAAGGACTGGAGGAAGAGGTGAGCAACAGAAAATGTAAATGCTAAAGAAAGATAATTCGTTATTTATTTTGGTATTTTTCCATGACTCTCTGATTTTTACATCTTGACTGTATTGTGTGGTTTGGTTTTCTTTGTGTTTGGTTTTTTAGGTTTTTTTTTCTTTTTTTTTTTTTCTGTTCTTCATTTAATTGTTGGGGGTTGATTCTGTAACAAAGATGCCATTCTATGATAGTGTAGGCAAAAGGCTCTTTGTCATAACAAATAAAAATTCTATTGATATAAACTTTAACTCAGGATAAGAAACAAAGAAATCTTTATAAGGACACTTAGCTTGCAGTACTCTGCAAGAAAAGAAATGCATTTTAATTTAAGCATTCATAAATTGTACCTATTAAAGAGCTTCATCTTTAATGTGATATAATAAAAAACTGTATTGCCATAAACATTGTGTTGCCACAATAATACCATCTGAGAAACTTAAATCTGTAAATCTTGACTGTTTCGTGTTGTCTGACATGTCTATAAACATTTTCTGCACTTTAACTTTTACAGGCTGTATTTAACAGATTATTGAAATCAAAACAAGTTTGTACATAGACAGCTGAGAACCTTATGTGTACTTTTGCAGATTTTTTGAGTTAAATATGCAGTACAAATCAATGCAATGTAAGAAAACATAATGCATTTTTGAAAACAGCTGAATAGGTGAATTAAATGTCTCAGGTTTCATGCTTTTATTCTATAGAATATAAATTGTATACGGGACAAAAGCACTGATACAAAGTTTAAATTCTTAAGGTAATTAGGTCAAATAGTAGACCTTGAAACAGATGAAAAAAATATAGTTTTCATGCAGTTTATGACATATAGCTTTATGAATTTGGAAGACTTTATTAAGGAACACACTTACATGCGTCTGCAAACCTCTCTTTCTGGTTTTAGCCTATTTCTCTATGATGTGGTCATCCAAAATTGTGAAACTGTGTTTTACATCCTTTTTGAAATTTGTGTATATAATTGCATTCTTTAATAAACCTTACTGAAGCCATGATTTCATTGGTTGTGAGCTTTTCGAGGACTCATATTTTATGATTTCTCTGTCCATATGTGAAACTATCATATAAATAATAGAGGTCTGTGAAAGAATTACCAGTGACTTACACATCCCATGTGCTGCAGTCCTACATCAGTCTCCAGTATCAAAAGAATTTCCTTGTTTGTAACTGAATTTAAAAGTTGAGAAAATATTGAACTGAAAATAGACTTTACTATTCATTCAATGTAAAATTATCATGATATAAAGGTGATGAAATAATTATTCTTGCAGTATTGAAATGATGAGCAGAGAAGCCTGCTTGAAGGATTTTCACATCAGCAGCTAAAGTGTGTCTAAAATGGATAAAATAGCAATGGTGCTATAACACAAGGGAGAGTTCAGTGTGAAAGTGTCAACAAGATACTATAAATTGAAGGGGGAATGAAAAGAGATAAGGAAGAAGCAGAAGAAGTTTAAGGTTTTTCAAAATGAGTATACATCTAGTTTAGTTCATTCATCAACTGTAACCAAAATAGACACCTAAATAAAGTATGCTGGTAACCTACGCACTTTCAGAATATAATGGACAGTTGCTTAGAAGGCAGTTTTGCAAATAAAGAATTTTTTCCCCATGAAAAAAGAATTATTCTACACTAAATGCAGTTTGTATAAATAAATTAATAATATTATAATAATTAATAAATATAAATAATTAATAATTAATAAATAACAAATATAATAATATCCATATAAATACATAAAAATATATTTAAAGTATATTAACAAAAATGTTACTATTTATTTTATTAAGTTATCAAAAATGTCTGTACATACCTCTTTTTTAAGAATTGATGTGACTAAACTAGTAAGTGTATTAGATCCTAGGTTGTGACTACACTGTCTTCTGGCTTCCCCAGAATGGTGTAAAAATATTTTCCATCTCAACTCCACTTATAAACACTGTAATATTTTAGAATGATAGGAGATTTAGTCCCTTACATGCTTTCATAGTCTAATCTATAAGCACTTGCTGTATGAAAGTAAATAGATAATTAGAAATTATTCAGTAAAAAAAATTGATTTAAAATACTATCTAGTAATTCAGTAATTGGATATTTCTTAGAGAAGCAGAAGAAAATGTTTCTCTTCCTGCAGACTCTTCTGATCTTGGAATACGTTTGGTGGATTAAACAGTTGTCTGTGATGTTGTTCCAATGATGTCTGAAGACAGATATATTTTGCTTTCTCATTGCATGCCATAATGAAATTCAAACCTAACATTGGCTCTAGTTTAATAATCCACCACCATTTATTAATTCAGATATCCTCTGCTCTTCAAACATTTTTTTTTTTTTTTTTTTGAGATTATTGCCAGTAACTGAATTTGATAAGGGTAAATAAAACTACTTTTCCTGACAGGATTACTGTCTTTAAAAATGAACTAACATTAAAATGTTATGGTGAGATTCTGTCTAGGACAAAATGTTCTCCTCATATACTCATTTTAAAGCAATACTTCTTCCATCTGGTAAATGGAATTCATAGTCTTTGGATTCAAATGGTTTTAATGAAAGAGCATTTGTCTTGGAAAACTCACTCATAAAAAGTTCTATTTTCACTGAAAGCAGTGAGATTTTGCAGTTCAACAGAATCCTCTTATCTGAAATTAGCTCAGTTATTTGCATACATACAGGCCACAGATGGAAAGAAGATTCAAAAATAAAAACACCATCTGCATTTGTCTTTAATGACAAGTTATATGGAAGTCTGAGATTCTCATTTTCAATAACTACATTGCAAATTTGTATACAAAATCTTCACAGTCCTCTTCTGGTTTGACCCTGTAAAAATTACTATAAAATCTATGTTTAAGATAATCAGAAGTACTTATATATCTCTTGTTATTAGGGGTGCAAGAACATTTTTTGTCAATAAACCATTTGGAATATGCTAGCATATCAACTCGATAATGTATCTACAGAATATTTTTTTTTGTCAATGGTTATACTCCTAAATATGAAAGACATAAAATTTTCTGTCATTGTAGTCAATGACTGTGATGAACAGTTACATGTGTCCATAACCTTGTCACGGACAATATATAAGAGACAATAGTAATATTTGTTTTGTAACATAATCACTGTAAACTGAGGGCACTGTAAGGCCCCAAAATCACTAGATGAGACTCTTAGAAGGGCTACAGTTTTCATGTACTTGGAGTCAGAAACACAGGAGAAATATTGACAAGATATTCTCAAGTAATCAAAACAATAAAAATTTTACTGGCATCTTCAGAAAATGAAAGACCTTTCCCTCCCTCCCTTCCCTCCCTTCCCTTCCTTCCTTCTCTTCCTTCCTTATAGACCTCTGTTTGAACTGGATCATAAAGAGCAAGCTGAAGAATTATGGCTGCTGTCAGGCCAGTATGACATAGTGTGCTGATAATTTTTCTCATTAAAACAACTGCATTATCTCTGCATCATGTAGTTTTATCTGGAATTGATGTGTCTTTGTACATGTGGTGAATATTCACATTAAATAAAAGAGAAAGTTGAAAATCAATGGCATAAAGGGTTGTTGCATGTGGTGGCATATTAAAAATGGCAGATAGTTTTGGATCTCCTTTTTAAAATTCTATTTTATGTTTTTCATGTTGTGTAAGGAGAGAGAACCTTGTTCTCCTTGTAATACTTAACTCTTTGGCTAACAGGGCCTGTAGGAATGATGTAACACTTAGTGTTTTTCTATAATCCATTTATACTACTGCCATCTTCTCTTTCTTGTTTCAGTTGCCTCATCTCAGACAATAGTTTTTAGTGCTAAGGGAATTTTAAAAACTCTTTAAGAAATCTGACCATATATTGTGAATTAACCTTGATAAGACACTCACTCTCTCATTGGAATGGAGGGAAGAATCTGAAGGGTAAAAGTGAGAAAACCTGTGCATTGAGATAAAGACAATTTATTAAGCAAGGTAAAAGCTGTATACAGAAGCAAACAAAAACAAGAAATCGATTCACTGCTTCTCATTAGCAAGTGGGTGTTCAGCTATTTCCAGAAAAGCACTATTGAAGACTAGGGTGAAGAAGACCCAGCAGAGTACCATAGGAATCCACATGGTCTCTCTCTTCCCCCCTTCTCTGCTCACTTCTCTTCCTCTCTCTCTCTCCCTCTCCTCTCTTCTGTTTTCCCATTTCTTTCTAACTCTCTCTGCCCCACAATGACTGTTAAATAAAATCTGTCCTATTGACTTTGGCATATCATCTCATTCACACCTAATTCAGGCAGAGGCCTTTAGTATAATCAGGTCATAAAACATGCTTAATATATAAAGCTGGGGCAAGGAAAGAAGAACAGAGTGGGATGTTTTGAGTGATGGCATTTTTCCTCCCAAATAACTGTTACATGTGATGGGCCCTGCTCTCCTGAAGATGGCTGAACACCTGCCTGCCCATGGGAAGCAGTGAATTCATTCCTTGTTTTGCTTTGCTTGTATATGAGGCTTTTTGCTTTCCCTATTAAACTGTTTTTATCTCAATCCATGAGTTTTCGAGCTTGTACCTTTCAGATTCTCCCACTGATCCCACTGATGGGGGAGTGAGCTAGCAGCAGTGAGGGGCTTGGCTGCTGGCTGGGGCTAAACCACCACAGAAGCAGAAAGGGCCTCGATGCTATGTGAGCACTGCTCAGCAAAAACTAAATTAACCCTCTTTTACCACTGCTTTTGTCACAAATATGAAACATAGCAGCATATGAGCTACTATGAAGAAGGTAAATTTAATCATTGCCAAAAGCATTGTATTATGAATATATAAAGAGTATGAAGCAATTTTTTTCCTCCTTGACCTTTGATTTTCTTACATTTACGTTCAAAGGGTCCTGGTTTCTGGTGGTTTTTTTTTTGTTGTTGTTGTTTTTTGTTTGTTTGTTTGTTTTTTAATTTTAGTTTTAATAGTTTTTACTTGTTTCATCTGGAAGTTTTTTACTCTGTATGTTTGCCAAAGGTGAAAAAAATCCCATACCTATTGGATTTTTGGTGGAATTTAGGAGCACAGCATTTCTGACAGTGAAACTATATGTTAATTCACTTTTTTGAGGTGATGTCTGTGCTCTCAGGTAATGAAATGAACATTCCAAGAAGTTCATTGGACTAAAGAACTAAATAATATAATAAAGAATAAAGAGCACGAATGGCAAGTAAAAGAGTACAAATATTATTTCTGTCCATTTGGTAATATGCTTCTCAAAAAATTAATCAAACTGTTGCTTTGCTCTTCAGTAATCTTTTTTTGCAGCCATTTAATTACTTATATATATGAAGTAGTGATTCATTTCTACATATACACCTGTATTACAAAGTATTTGAGAATTAGTAAATCTTTGAGTACTAATTTTATTTTCTAATCAGTTTCATATAGATGACAAAAATGAAAAACAATTAGTTTTGGATTACAGTGAAAATTTTCATAGAGATAATTGTGTGAAAGAAAACTCATTTCAGTCCTTGAGCATTATCTAACAGTGACTGTTCCAAGTGCTAAATGCTGTGAATAGAATCCAAAATTAAAATCACAGAATCACAGAATAAGCTGAGTTGGAAAGGATCCACAAGGATCATCAAGTCAAAAAAAAAAAAAAAAAAAAAAAAGGCACATATAAAGAAAAGTAATTGAAGAAATCTGTGAGGAAATACAATTTATTCTCTTAATGCATTGTTACAGTATGCACTTCAATCCCAAGGATAGCATCAGTGTTTGCACAGAGATTCATGTCCAGTGGACTGCTAAGCACACTGGGAAACAGCTACAATTATTTAAAACACTAATGAATTCAGGTATTAACATAATCATGCAGCATGATTGGCAAATAGCATATCTAAAAGCCTGATTACCACAATATTGAACTAGAGCAAAGGAAAGAAGTGGTGCAGTTAGATATGCAGTTAAGCTGCCAATGTGAGCAGCAGACTTTACTCTTTTTAAAGACATGACTATTGAAGAAAGCGCTAGAAATGTTGATCATGATACAGCTCAGCCAATAAAGCACACCCAAATTAAATTAACAAATTATACAGCTACTCCTTGAATATGCACCCTGACAGGACTTGTTATGCTTATACCATTATCTGAAAAAATACTGAAAGATAAAGTTTGAAAAGGAATATTAAAATCAGGGGGAATAATGTGCAGCAAAGAAAGGAATGTGAAGAAAAAATTACATATACATTTATAAGTAGATGTCTTTTGTATCTTTGGCGCAACATAGGCACAAAACCCCTCTTTTTTTAATATGTATATACTTTCTAAATCTATCTAAAGTTGGGGGCTTGTTGTTTGGGTTTTTTTTCTGTGCCAAAACCAAGCTGGTTTTTATATGAGAGGAAAAGAACAGTGGGTCAGAGGAAACCTTATTCAGCTACATTCAAGATGCTGTGTTAGTCCATGAAGACACAGTATGGGCAGTCCTCATCCCCTCATAAAACCCAAACAAATTCAAACCAAGCCAAGCCAACCAAAAAAAAAAAAAAAAGTAATAAAACAGAAGAAAACAGTCATTAAATACCCCAAAACCCAAGGACAAGTTCTTCTGAAGAATAAAAATTATCTGTTGTGCTCCTAGTGTGGAAACTGAAATTTATTTCCGCAGGACAAAATGTTGGCATAACTGACATGTATCTCCTGTGCTCCATTCAGCACAGCACACAGGAAAGGCTTCAAAGATGTTTTCCCACATCCATTGAAGATGGATGATTATTGCTAGAGAATCTGTAAAAAGAAGAATGAAAACTGTATTCAGGAAGTACCAATCCGATACCTACAGTATTTACTGTCCTTTTCGACCAGAGAGACACACTGTAACTATAATCTTTCTGAGGCTTGTGAAGTCAGCTGATTTACTGATTTATTGTTGATGGCCCACATTGGTCTAAATCCATTCATGCTATCAGAAAATATGGCCTTAAAGGGTTCAAGGGAGAAGCCTGCAACAGGAAAACACAAAGCCAAAAGAAAGCTATGCTTTCATCTCATAGAACCTTTATATTTATTTTCAATATGACAAAATAAAAAAAGCATAAAGATTTGGGTTAGAAATAAATTACAAAATCTATTTTTTAAAGCATATATGTACATTGGCAGATAAAAGAAAAAAAATTATTTACATGGAGCATGCTTCTCCACAAATAAGTGAACTTTGTGTGAGAAGAAACTTTAGAAAATAAATTGTTCTTTACACATGCACATATTACTCTGGATTACCAGTACATTGTTAATCAGTATGAAGATTATTGTAAACAGTACAATGTGGTTATAAATAGACAAAGCAGAGCAATTATTTTGGAAGAGGCTCTAATGTTCGATTCCATCTTAACATGGGCATGTTCAACTCGTTTAGAAGATGTGAATACGTGCTGGATACAGAGGAAGAATTATTATGCTGAGCTTTCTGGCTAAAGTCTTGACAATACAGCCCAG